AGATAGAGAGAGAGAGAGAGAGAGAGTCATTTAGAGGCTGTTGCATTGGCCTGGGCATAAATGGGGGCCATCTTGGCATCTATCAGTTGGGAAGAGGGTTGCTTCGCACCATTACTAAAAAACTGACCCAACATTAATATGAAAGAACAGTGGACATCCTTAACGAAACTCACCTGCCACCTGTGAAGGAGGTTCGTTGGCAATCAATGTTCTACGATTTGACATCTGTAATTCAGGACATTTTACATACGTAGCACTCAATTCTGATGTATTTACATAGCTAACACCTAAACATTTTTATTTTTTTTACATTTATGTCATCTAAATATTTCGTATCACAAAAAAAAAATCACTTCTTTAAGCTTTTAAACGTGAAATACACCTTTTCATGCATAGGAGAGGAGATATATTTGTAAAAATTAAAGTTTAGTTGTTATTTATGTAAATGTGTAAGAGTTTAGTGGCATCTATGTAAATTTTCCAGTTTTTGGTAGCCACAAGAAAAAAAAGTGTATCTAGTACTCTAAAAACTTTGAGCTAGAATGTTTAGTGCATTGGTTAAAGGAAGTCAAATGAAGAATCATAAAATGTCAGGCTCGAGTGCTCACCCTACATGAAATAAAAGGGAAAAACAAACTAGTTGAATCTTAGTTCTATAAATTTTTCAAAAAGTTTTTTTTTTTTTATGGCAAGAGAATGAGGAGACATTGCAACCGCTCAAATGTGATGAAATTAGAGAGTGGTCGAGGGATACTCGCCACTCTAAGATTTTACAACACTTGATATGTGCTGAAAGATTCACAATGATAGAGTGATCATTTAGTAATTGACAGTCAATGTCATCGGTATTAATGTTAATAACGATGGAGTTAAAGCTATTTATACGCCGTCGGAATGAATCTTTCATACCGCTTAAATTTTCTAAGCCTTTTCAATTGTCCTAATCCCCTTGCCCTCTCCCTCATGCCCTAACCCTCCCCTCTCCTCCCCTCCCCTTTCCTGGCGACTCAAGCGCCCCAACGACCGTAGCTCTGGAGACACCAACTCTAGCGACTCATCTGCTCTGACACCCAAAGGTATTGTTAGATACCTTACTGGTCATTTATATGAGGATGTACCTTGGTTTATGTTTTTTTGCTATTGATATCCTTCTTATGGATATATCTAAGGTGTGAACGCCTTAAATATCTCGGGTCTAGTGTTCTCGGTGATGGTGATGTAGAAGGGGATGTCATTAGTAGAATTCAATTTGGGTGGTTGAAGTAGAGGAATGCTTCTGGTCTATTGTGTGATAGAAAAGTACCACTTAGAATGAAATGAAAAATTTATGAGCTGGTGGTGAGACTTCTAATGCTCTATGGCACATAATGTTGGCCTTTAAAAGAGAAGCATAAAATTAAGTTAAGTGTTGTCGAGATGAGAACATTTAGGTGGATGAGTGGCTTTACACTTAGTGATAAAAATATGAAATAAATATATTTTGTGAAAGGGTTAGTGTAGTTCCTGTGTTGGAAAAATTTAGAGAGAGTCATCTTAGATGGTCTTATCTTATTAAACGTCGACCATCTGATGATCCAATTAGGAGGGTAGATGTTTTAGATTTGATTTATGTTAAGAAAGGCTGAGGTAGACTTAGAAAGACTTGGGCATACTTTATAAAAAATGATCTTAATTTAGTAGAATTAGATGAAAAGAAAGGTAGAGCCCAATATCACTAAGTCACTCCATCAGACGTTCCTGAGAGATTCTCTCGATCAGGCGATATATCATAGACATTTCAGTGGTTCAATAATGTCAGAATTTAGTGATCTTAGGCTCATTGAATTCGTCTCGTTGACATGCTCGATTCAACGATAAGCTTGTCAGATTTGGAATCCATTTGGCTTTCCAAATGAGCGTTAAATGCTTCCAAAAATGACTTTGCAGCTTAATCTGGGCTTAATTTGCCTCGGATTGAACCACCATTAGTGTCATTGTATTCATCTCTTCAAACTGGTCATTTTGACTGTAAGTTTGTTGAAATCAAAATTTTTATGATTTTTAATTGGAGCTTGGAATTTTCTTATAAAAAACTGCTCTAAGATCTATGTTGATCTCTCTCCAGATTCATGTTGAATGACAAATTTTGTCGATACATATTTAATTTCATATAATATACAAAAAATTTTACCACCCCCTCCCTGTCTTTTCTTAAACTTAAATATTTAAAACTATTTTAATAAAAACTAAAATTTTAATTTAGTAATAATTTTTACATTAGTTTGAACAAATTTAAGGAGGGGAGAAATATCAAAATTAGATACTCATCATTCTTCACATTCTTTGACATTTGATTAACTCATCCCTCTTCTGAAACTTTGGTTCCATCATTGAGCCACTACCATCAAAACTCTCTACTACCTCTCCAACGGCCAAAAAATTCAAATTACATTTAGTTAATAAAACTTTAAAAATTACCCTTAAAAAACAATTGAGATCAAATTCCTCTTGGATTAATTTGATTGCTAGGCAACATTATTCGCTAATATAATACCACTCTTAAGAAAATTACAACATCAGCAATCACTTTCTTACATGATAAACCATAAATGATTATACATTGCAATTAAGAGATTTAAATTAGACAAAATGGGCAATAAGATGAACACAGCTACTTACTTATTCCTAAAAAGCTCCAAGCAGTGCTCCTGATCCAAATTCCTCGTCCAAAACGTCTTGAAATACTCATCGTAGGTGAAGCTCCGGTAGATCGCCGGCGACTCTGCCGCTACGAGCCATTCCGCCGGTGCGATCACCGCACGGTTGCACGGGCAGAGGAAGGAAGCCACTGATATTCTCTCCTTCTCCGAGTTCACCACTGCTCTATGCCTAACACTTTTGTATTTAGCATTGCTCAATGCCTGCAAAATTCAACTTAAATTGCTCATAATGAAAAGCTTATATATTTTCATATAAAACCTCGAAACTTACATATTTAAACTTAAATCTTTAATATTACATACATACCACTCTGTCCTCATGTATTTACTTATCGAATAGTTAAACTCTCACTTTTTACATTTATACCAACTAAGAGGGTGTTTGGCTGCCCCTAAGATTTGAGTTAAATAGGATTTAGTAAATCTGATAAATCTAAATTTATCAAATTCAGATGCTCAAAATCATTAAAAATGTTCGGTTCATTTAAAATTGAATCCACTTAAATTTATCTGACATCGTAGGCATCTTATTTCAGAATTTAACTTCTAAATCGATGTAATGATTGGATTTAGTAAATCCGGCTTTACGTCAAAACATTGACTTAGGGAGAGAATTTTGAATCTAACAAACAGTCAAATTTATTTCAATTTTTTGCTTTTTATGTTATGATGAATTTAATTTACGTTAAGAGTACACGTAAATTCTATTGATTCTACGCTATCAATTATCAAATATTGCCTAAATCTTTCGTATCACATTAAAAAAATGTCACCATTGTTACATTTTTATGCAAAATTGACATTGAGGAGTTAGAAACATAAGGACATAAGAACCAAATGGTATGTAGTATGTATGTAAATCTTCCTATATGTAAAATATAAAAATTTAGTTGTTTGATATATAAATACACAAGAATTTGAGGTATATATGCAAAAAGACAACATATTTGGTTGGCACTCATTATCTAGGCCTAATTTGCATCCGAAGTTTAATGATGGGTATGTTTCAAGTAGGCCCCACAGCAGTGCACTAGTAGTAGAGTTCACTTGACACATGATGCCCACTATTGAACTCCGAATGCATCTGGGATGTAATATTTTTTCATCAATAAAAGAGGTTTGTTCCGCTCCAAATTAGCCAACTCCATCTGGTTGGAAAAGTTAGTGTTGGATAAATACCTGCAGCTGGTCGCCGATGTTGACGACAAAGGCGTCGGGATGGGGTTGGACGGCGATCCACTTGCCGGCTCGGAGGACTTGAAGGCCGGGGACGACAGGGTCTTGGAGGAGAATGGTGAGGGCGTTGGGATCAGTGTGGGATGGGAGACCATATGTGAGCTCCGGTTGGGGACAGGGAGGGTAGTAGTTGATGGCCATGTGCTGCTCTTGATCGCCTAGTGCTGTCTTTATATAATCCTGCTCCAGGCCGAGGCTGAGAGACACAAAGCCGAGGAGGATGAAGCCGAGCCGGCGAACTTCCGTGCAGTATTTGCTCACCACCTCCCTGAATTAAGACTCCAAATACACTATTAAGTTAGCTGGATATGTTATATATATATATATATATATATATATATAGTGTGTGTGTGTGTGTGTGTGTACAGGGGATTTCTCGTTTTTTTCATAGGGATTTTTATACTTCCTTCTCTTTCATATTCATAATTAATTATTTACTTATTTATTGATCTTTTTGATTAAAAAGTGATATATAGGAAGTCAAAATTTGTGAATTCTAACAATTTTCTTTTTGATTTACTTTGTTGTCCATTTATTGCTATAATTTTTTGGTATTTTTTATGATTTCATCATTAATTAGTCTTAAATTCTAGTACTTTTTTTTTTACTTAAATAAAGTGAGTTCTTGAATTATATTTTTGTTACTTGTGCTTTATAAATCATCAATTTTTCTATCACATGAAAGCCCACGTATCATCTTAGTTGCAATAGGAAATCCTAATGTTGTGTCATTTAGCATCTATAAAAGTATTTTAAGAATTCAAGCTGATCTATAATTTGCCTTATTTCAACTATTTAGGGTCCTTTTTTCAAATTCTAGTTATTAATTCAATATTTTTGAGGATTGTCAAATTGTTAACTTGTTCTTGGGAGATAAATTTGAATAACTTATATTCATGGTATCTCACATTTACGGTTCTCCTTTTTAATCTTGTGACGCTCTGTGAATCACCTTTTGCTAGTTTATATCTTGTAAGAAATTTAACCGATAATAAAGAAAAATTCAGAAGATACCTTAAAATTATTTTACTAAATATATATAACAACTAAACTCATTTCAATTTTCTTTGTAAATATTTTTAACATGAATTCGTGTCATTGATATTGCAAAGTATTGGGTTTCTTTTTCAAAGGGTTGCGGACGTTTTATGCATTCCAGGGAGTGGCCTGAGAACCATCATTTATCTGGTATTTCCTACAGTTTCATACTAGGATTGCCTTCTAGAATGCATTCTTTTACAATGTAATTATAATATTTTTGAGAAGGTTTTCAAACTTTCAAATACATCACGTGGGCACTTCGGATAGAAAGTGTTGTGGGTTAAGGATCGTCATCAAAATTGAACATTTTTTAGATGTTTGACAAATCTGAGCATAGAGAACTTTAAAAATTATCTCATCTATGTCCATTTTATTATAAATATAAGGAATGCATGTTATAGGGAATCCTTATTATATTTGAATCAATGTTATCAAAGCGCAATGCACAATGCACAATGCGATGCACAAGTCTTTATTTTTACTTAAAAGCGTAGAGTGAAGCGTCACTTTTATTAATCAAAGCGCTAGTAAGTATGTAGAATTATCAATATATACATTTATTAATAATTATACAATTCAAAATATGACTTAAAAGTTGATATAAAATAGAAAAAAAATGGGGTACAATACATAACTTGAAGGGAAATATTTAGGGTAAACCTATAAATATAATTTTAAATAATTTCTAGTTTGTTGCAATAATTAAAAACTTAAAAATTGCGAAAAAAAATATGTAAATTAATTGCAATGCTTCGAAGCACGCTTCAGTTACGCGATGCAGGAATCACTCGCTTCGCTTTGCTTTGCTTTGCTCATGAAGCACGTTTTTAAAAACATTTATTTGAACATCAACATTAAAGATTGTTATATTGATTTGTACTATGGTATGTAATTGAACTTTGAGTAGAGAAGTAGGTATAATTTAAATATTCTAATAATGGAGGTGAACAATATTGGGATTATAACTTCGGTTTTAGCTTGTTACTAATTCGAAGTGTACATCCTGGAATTTAATGGTTGGCATAAGTAGGATTCTTTTGTATTAATACACCGGGCATTTTTTTCTACTTATTTGTAGTTTCTACTTTTGAAGGTTGTGCCAGTACTTAGTGGTGAACTTGTCGTGGAAGTAGGCATAATTGTAGAAAGATTCAATTAGGATTAAGACTGTATTTTCTTAATTTAGAAATATATTCCTAGGTTCCTCAATTTTGTGTCAACACATTTTAGATAATAAAATTGCCTTGGATGCTATCCTAGAGTGAATTTACTAGCAAGGATGCTGCACACATCCTCTGGGACTATCGTTTATCAAATATGCCAATGATTTGTTTTTCTGCAGTAAAACTTTTGATTCAACTTCTCTTTGAAACCAAACTGAAAATATACTAATAGGTTGCATTGCAAAACTGAGATCTTCTTATATCATGAAACCATCATTTCATTTGTTGACATGATTTCTGAGGTTGTGACAATGGAAAACATACCCATTAATGACAAGATTTATCAGTGAACTTGCTGATCTAAATTTCTATTGTATCATAGGCTTTTGTTTACTGGGATGCATAAGCAGTTGTCTGGTTGTTTATACCATTTAATCTAAGTAGTCCTGTACCTGTGATGTTACCTATTTTTATAGTTGTTAATCCACAATTAATTCTTTGAAGCATCTCTTGCCTCGGGCCAAGGAGGGAACGATAAGACTGAAGGGGACCACAATTGAGCGAGCTATTCGAGACCTTGAGAGGGTGGTTAAACTGTGTAAGTTATATTGTAACTTATGTTTTTAATTTTGATGGGGACATGAGTTTATGATTAACTAGAAATTCATTTATCAGCCAGACCACTAGACCCTGGAGTTCAAGAAGACGATTCTTCTGCTCATGGTGTTAAAAGGAGATTACCTCTAGAAGTAAAACAAAAGCTAGCTAAAGTTGCTAGATTAGCGGTATCCAACTCTTTTGATCATATGATGTTTGTATTCTTCTTTATTTTTATAAGACTTGAGTGGAACGTATGTAAATCTTCCTATATGTATATGTTCTCATTTTCCTTGGAAATTATAAAACTTCCAAGCATTTGACATTTCTAACCTTGAATTCTACTGAAATAATTTAAAACTTTGGAATACTGCTTAGTCCTAACTCAACTGACCAGTTGGGGTTATATATCTAAAACCTAAATTTATGCCTATTTATATATCTAACACCTAAATTTTACATTTTCGATTTATACCACCAAAGTCTTTCACATCATATACAAAATACAATCATTTTAACTTTTACAAAAGTGAAAACATACCTTTTTATGCAAGGTAAAGTGGTGTGTATGTAAAAATCTGAAGTTCAGATGATAGATATGTAAATACATAGGAACTGAGTGGAATGTATGCAAATGCTCTAATAATAAAAAATTGGCTCTAATTTGAAATTGTTTGTTATGTTGGATTTATATATTGTTGTTCGTGCTCAGCTCAAAATTTGCTAATTTAAATCATTCAGAAAAATAAATGTAGGGTATTGTATTTAAACTTACTCCATTTTAAAGCAATAAAAAATAAAAAATAACATGAGTTGTAGTAATTTAAGGTTCCACGTAAATATATATATAATTTATTATTATACAAAATAATATATATATATAAATTTTTTTTATTTCGAGCTAAAATGAGTCAAAAATCACGGAACAAAAAGTTGTCACTTTTTGACTCATTTATAATTCATGCTTAAAATTTTCTTCTTGTTTGACTCGCATGCTTAGCGAACGATTCAGATATGAGACATTTAACGAGCTGAACACACGAACAAATAGCTTATTTGACAGCCCTAGAGCGAGTATGTAATATATGGAGATTAGCGAACGATTCAGATACGAGACATTTAACGAGCTGAACACAGGAACAAATAGCTTTTTTGACAGCCCTAGAGCGAGTATGTAATATATGGAGTCAGCATGCATACGAAGTCCGCACATAATAAAGTTGTATTATTAAAAACAAGGAAATATTGAACCAATCATAACAGGACAACAAGATTTCCCCTGCAACTAAACACTGAGGAATAAACACAGATAGCTGAGAATCAGAACCTGAAGGCCAAGGGTTTGGACGGCCAGGCGGCGGAGTACTCTTCAAGGGGATGACAGTGAAGCCGAAGATAATCCCTCCAGTTGTGCACCTCCTCCTTCTTCACATTGAAGCTTGTCGACAACCTCACCTTTTTTGCCGGATCGTCGGAGTACAGCCTCAGCTTCTCCTCCGCCGGAAGGCGGAAGAAATCCGCCGCAATGGCTAGCATCTCCCCAATCAATTCGGCTGAAACACCGTGATTTACGACCTGATCGGTAAAAGCAGGGAGAGAAATCGGCGATCAAGAATCAGAGGAGCGCGATTACAGGGACGGGAGATGGAGATTTGAGGATGGAAAGGGGAAACCTGAAAGAACCCGTAGGATTGGCAGGCTTGACCTACTTGGGCGGCGATTTGGGATTTGTCGGGAGATCCGAGGTCGACGATGGGGATGTTTCGGTCGATCTCGACGGCGGCGAAGTCGGGTCGTTGGGATTCCGGCCGGATGTAGGAATCCGGTAGGGATTCGAGCCGGGGGCCGATGGAGAGGAGAGGCTCCGCCATTAATGGTGGATGGATGCCTTGAATTCCGGTTATATATAGCGAATTGAATGCTCTAACTCGTACTAGCACCGGAATGGAAGTCGCGAAAAGGTTTCAGGGGTTTGATGACGACGGCAAAGTGACGGAAGACTCCGACGTCATTGACTTCATGGTATTATTAGAAATTACTTTATGTGCCACTGGTTTAGTTGGAGCTTGCGTTAGCCCATTAGGGATGTTAATAGAGTTTGGAGAAACCAAATTAAAATAATGGGCACTTACAAACATATATATTTTTTAAGTCATGATCGGAGGCTATTATACAAGCCTTCAGCTACCATTAATGTTTCAAATAATTCAAGTATCACATCATTGAGATCAACTGTGTCAGAGAGGATTCGAACCCCCGATATGAGGGGTCTTATATCGCGGATACCAACCAACAGATTGAGGTATGCATTACTAGTAGAAAAAAAACATTATAATATTAGGGTGAAGGCTAGAGATTTGATTTATTCTCCCTTAGTTCATAATGGGATTAACATCTGTCGGTATTAAAATATATAAATAGACTCATACTCTTCGCATAACAAGGGGCCTAGACTTGAGTTTTGGCGAATCTTAGAAATCTAAAAAACTGTAAAGCTCCAACTACTCACTATCATCCAATGGCCATCGCTCAACCACCATTGTAGTAGAATTATTGTAACCCAACCACCATTATCTTACCATCACCTCTAGACCATCATCACACAAGCATCATTATTTAATTATTGTAATACAAACATTGTTATCTAATGTCCAATGTTGAATTGAAATAATTCAATCATCATTGTTTGATCACTATCACTCAATCATCAACATTCAATTATCATCGCTTAATCATTATCGTCTGAATATTAGTTTTCAGTTGTCGTTGTCAGATCATCACTGCTCAATGTTAGTATTAAATCATTATTGCCTGATCACTGTCAACCAACTGTTGTTATCTCTTGACTATCATCATTTGACAACTAATAGTTAATTGTCACAGGAATGACGCCTGAACCCCACATTATTTACAACATATTCACTGCAAAGCAATTTAGTTTATGTGCATTACTTCATCATATCACATTCTCAAATTAAAGGGAGGGGAAGATCTTTATAATCTCAACTAATATTATAAATTGTATTACTTAGGTTAGCCCCTATGATTTTTTTTTCCCTTTCCAAGCTTTTAACATAAAAAATTTGATGTCATTTATACACTTGTTATCTATAATAAAACTCTCATTCTAATCTCATAATTTTTTAGAACAATACAAAATTTGTTTCTTATAAAACTCACTTATTCAACATCATCTCATTATATCAAGTATACAATGGCCATTTGGAAAAATACCTCTCCACAAATGAACTAAGTCTGTGAATGTTAGAGATAAGGGGCAAAGAAAGTAGCACACCAATGGGGAAGAAAGAAAAAAATTTCAATGGTTAATGGTGAAAGAAAATGAGTTAGAAGGTGAGACTACATGGCCAAAATTTGGTCATGTTGAGCCAATAAAGTATCAAGAGGTCCCTCGAGTTTCTCGACCCTATTGACTGAACTGAGTATGAGTTGTCGTATATTAGTCGCCCAATAAGGGATATTGAACATCAATCACCTAATGAACACCTATTTATGGGTCAAATTAGAGAAGGGACTGTTCGATGACATTGCCCAAGTTATTTTTCCACCTTAAATTGGCCCCAACTTGCTTTGAAGATAAATTGGGAGATGTGATCAAATGATGTGCACAAGGAAGATAAGGGGAAATGACATGTGGTTAGAGGATTAGGCATCAGAAACAACTTTAAATATGTGTCAATGTCTGAATATGATAATGGGGAACAGTCAGAGAACCTTAGAGAGTTAAATGTATTCATTATTCATATATATTATATATATAAAAAAAAAAACTACCCAATATAAAGAGAGAGATTTAATATGACAAGAGGTCATTAGATGATCGTTTTTCTCCTATCTCAGAAAGAGTATAGCATATTCCCCATACAGTCTCCTCTTATATTCCCTCTAATCACATTTCCTAGCTCTTCCCTTAAGGCGTGAATCCACGAACAACATACGTCTAGATGCTGCTCTAACTCAACTTACTGATGAATTATATATACTTACATATCTATATGTACACACACACACACACCCATATGTATATATACATGTAAGCATATTCACTTTAAAAAAATAATATTATATTTGTTATGAATATGATGTTAAGAATTTTAGTGCCTCGCAGTATATATTAAAGCTTAGGTATTAAATATTTAAATACATAGTAATTATATCATATATATTATTATCCCTTGTAAATTTTATGCAAATTTAACATATGTGCCTTGTACCCATTCTGCTCTAAAAGAAAAAAAAAAGAATAGAAATAATTAATGCTTTGTTTAGAATAATTTTCTTAATTTACATTAATTTCTATATGTCGGAAGATTTGCATCGGTAGAGTGGTTATTTAACATTTTAGCATTGCATGATAATCTAGCACAGGCTCAAATAATTAAAATAATAGGTAAAGGCGTCGAAAGTTTTTACATGAAGAACTCTGTAAATGAGAAAAAAAATGAGCTACTCAATTGAAATAATCTACTCTATAATTGTGAGTACATAGACACACTCTTCTCATGAGTTTGGGAAGATAGAATTATAAAGTTGATGTAAAATAGTATTTCAGCAATAATAGTTATATCGGGCTGCTAAGGGCATAGTCGGCAGCAATGGAGGCAGTAGTCTACCATAATGTTGTAAATGATGGTTATAGTGCCAGCATATTCTAGAATTCGTAGTTGGAATCCATGGTAGTAATTGGTCATATGGGTTGTATATGGTTGCTTCAAGAGAGTCAGTTGGTCACATAGATCTTTGTTAGGAGTTGAGTGAGTTGTGAGCTGCGTAGGTCGTAGTTAGACACATGCGCTGTAGCGGGGAGCTCTAAAAACATTTGTAGGTCACAGAAGTCAGTGTTGGAAGCTGCAAGTGTTGTGAGTTACATAAGCTTTAGTTGGTCACATAGGCCATAGTGGGAAGTTGTAATATTGTTCTTAGGTAGTAGATGTCAAAGTTGGAAGTTGTATGAGCTTTGATAGCATCAGTAGACCACAGAGGCTGAGGTTGAGAGCTCCATGAGTTATGATAATGATCATAGGTCCTAGAGGCTAGAGTTTGGAGTTGCATGAGTTGTGATAAGTGAAAACGTCCATAGGCCATGGAGACTGGAGTTGGGAACTACATGAACTATGTTGACATTTGTGGGCCGCAGAGGCCAAAGTTGTGAGTTACATGAGTTGTGAACCGCATAGGCAAAAATCGGTCAAATAAGTTGTAACAGAAGTTGTAATAATGTCAAAAGCCACAACGACCTGAGTTGGGCGCTGCGTGAACTATGATGATGTTTATAAGCCATAGTGGTTGGAGTTGAGAGTTACAAAAGATGTAATAATGTTTGTAGGTTATAGAGGTCAAAGTTGGGCGTTGCAAGAGTTGTGGAGCAGGTAAGTCATAGTTATTTACCTAGAGCGTAGTGGTGGATTGTAAAAACAGGGCTTCAGGAGTCCAGAGAAAGTTATTATATCCTGAGCACATTAGTTGTGATCAATTAGTATGTGATGTGTTGTTAGAACGTCTAAGGGAGGCGTCGTTGCACCGTATGCGAAGTGAATTGTTGTATAGATTTGGGATACCTTTTTACACTGTTTTTAGAGTGTATCGTTACAATATATTCTGAGTGTGTTATTACGTCGTCTTCTGGGAGCATCGCTGCACTGCTTCGTTGGGTGCTTAGTTACTTTGCAACGTTTGTTGGGATTCCGCAAACCATGTCAGAATTCTGCAAGGTGCTTCGTTGCAATGAGCAGGGCAATGATTGACGGTGATCGATGGTGGCCTAGGAAGATGGTCGACGATAGTCAGATACTGCAACAGCGAGTGGCATTCACTAGACCTTTGGTGTAGAACGTTGGACCTCAGTTTCTTCTCCTCCAAGCTCTGGGCTTCTTCTTATTTATGGTCTAGGTCTACTTTCATGATGGGGTGGGACTTAATTTATAGAGTCTGAGAGAAGTCTCTCTGTAAATAAAGAAGGAATTCAAATCACACATTCAGACGACCCAAAAATATTTCCATGATTGGAAGGCTTTCTGTGGATAATTAAGTTTCTTAGAAATGTCAGATTCGAGTGATATTGTGCTCGTTGGATTCGCCTTATCGAGATGCTCAGTTCGACTATAAGTGTGTCAGATTTGTAATCAATTTAACTTTCCATTTAAGCACAAGAAGCTTTTATATATGGCATAACCACCTCATCTTGGTTTGATTTGACTCGAACTAGATTCACTTTAGTGTCATTATTGATGTGTGTTAGAAAATTCGTGGCGGTAGAGTAATGGATTATCGTCTTAGCGTTGCACGAGAATTCGACACACACTCAGATAAAAATGAATCGAGCTGTGATCACACCAGAAGTTTTTACGTGGAAAACCCGTAAAAAGTGAAAAATCATGGGGTCTGGCCCAGTTGTAAAAAACCAGTATAAGTTGATGATTACAAATGTCCCTTGTCCCACAGGCGGGAAAGGGTTACTAGCTTTCCACGTTACAACGTCGACCGATGATGTCTAGTAAGCGATGGTTGACGGAGGTCAGCGGTGGCTAACAACAGTCGATGACGGTCGGCGGTAGTTGACAGAGATCAGCGGTGATCGGCGACGTTCAACGATGGTCGGCGGTCATCAGCGGTGATCAGCGACGTTCAACGGTGGTCGGCGGTCGTGGTCGACGGCGATCGACGATGGCAAGGATGATCTTGGACTTGAGCTCCTTCTCAAAACCTCAAGTTCTCTTTTAAGCCTCCTCCCCCTCATGTGAGGGGTGTGACTCTATTTATAGTGTTTTGGGTGCAATTAATACAAGAATATGAACCATTTTGATCAGACGGTCTGGATGGCTTCCTTCGATCAGAAAATATTTGATGGACATTTGAGTGTCTTAATGATGTCGGAATTGAGCAATCTTGGTCTTGTTGGATTTGTCTTTTCGAGACGCTCAATTCGACTATAAACTCTCTGAATTCGATATTCGTTTGACC